CTGGGATTCATCACTCTGGAGCTGCTTGTGGATGCTGCCAGTGAACCTGGCTAGGAAAGGACTTGGCCTCCTGGACTTGTCCCCTCATCCAGAGCTCCAGGCACAACCCAAACCTAGGTCCCAGCTCCTCAGGAACATTCCAGAGCCAGAGCCTGATTTCCTTTCTGATTCCCTCCAGGAAAGAACTCCTGAGGTTCTGCCTGCAGCCAGGAGGGCTGGGAACACCCACGGGCTGGGGTGTCCCTGTCACCTCCCACCTGCAGCAGATCCCTCCCAGTCAGAGCTCCTGGAGCTCAGGGTGCTGCTCCCACCCTCCCCAAAATCCATGGAATTAAATCAGGATTCTCCCCATCGGGAGAGCTCCCCCAGGAGCTGGAAGTGCCTCCTCTCCCCCTGCTCCCCACCTTACCCCAGCCCGTGACCCCATTTCACTGCCCCCACCCTGGGAAGGAGCCTCCATCCCTGGGTTTGGGCTGCGGGACACCACCCATGGCTCCAGCGGGATGCGTCGCCATGGAGGAGGCGTTGCCATGGCGACCGTTGCCGTGGCGATGGCGACTGGCGCAGCAGGGCCTGAGAGCATCCCAGGGAGGTTCCCGGGCCTCTCCCGGTGCTTGGAGATGGATTGATTGCCCAGGTTTCCCTCCTCCCGAGGCCAAACACTCAGCACCGAGAGCTTTTACCACAGCAGCGTGCTTTGGGGTCTGTTTTGGGGCAGATTTAGGGAGTTTAAATCCCATGGAGTGGAAAAGCCCTAAATAATAAAGCAGCCTGCCTGGGGAAGGAGGGATGTACAGGGAATTTAGGAAGCACCAAACCTGGTGCTCTGCGTCCCCCGGGATGTGTTCAGAGATGCAGAGAGGTCTGTAGGACCATCCTTGTGCCACACATGAAGGTGACAGGAGGGTCCCTTCTGTGCCTTGGTTTCCATATCTTTTAAGAACCCAAATCTTCTGTCTCTGCAAAAGCCCTTCCATGGAGTGGAAATGACCTAAATAATAAAATGCCCTGACCCTCCCTGCCTAGGGAAGGAGGGATGAACAGGGAATTTAGGAAGCTCCAAACCAGGCACTCCCTGTGCTCCAGAATGTGTCAGAGCTGCAGAGGGTTCTGCAGGACCATCTTTGTACCAGGAAGGCGACAGGAGGGTCCCTTCTGTGCCCCTACATTCTTTAAGCACCAAAATCCCCTGGAGATCTGCTCCTGGGGGGGATGAGTGAGACTCTTTACCCCAGATTTACATTTCTCACCTGTAAAATGGTGTCACCCAGGCTGCCAAGGGGAGAGGACAGGGAGGGGGTGACACTGTACATGTGGGGTGGTGACACAGCCAATGGAGAGGGGCTGAAGCCTCCCTGTCCACCTGCTCGGCTCGGATGCTGCCAGAGCAAGGGCTCCGAGCCCTCCCTGGCTTTCCAAGGCTCTCAGTGTGGGGTTTGGGATTTGTGCTGCTGGGGCCCCTTGGCTGCCGTTCCTGCCAGCCCAGCCAAGATGAAGGCATGGAAGGGGGCAGGGAGTGTCCGGGTGGGAATCATCACCTGCCCATCCCCCTTTTCAGGTGGAAAAGGATCCTCTGGGATGGGGTGGGGGATGTGTTTCTTATCCGAGCTCGACCTAGTGCCCATGTCACTGCTGAGATCCAAGCCCTTTGTGTCTGGCACGTATTTGGGGTCATTTAGAGCACAATGAGGGAGCTTTCAGTGAAATGTGACTTTCTGGCCCTGGCTGGAGTCTGCTCTTCGTCAGGGCTTGTTTTTATAGCAGCAGAGCTGTGACCTTTGGAGACCCTGGGGGAGTGGGAACGGGGCCATTGTTTGGGGTCTGGGCAATGCCAGAGCCGGGTCCTGGCTGGGGCTGCCCCCAGTGACAGCTCATGGGACACAGGGATGTGACAGGAGCAGCTCCCTGGCTGCAGGACAGTCCTGGGCACAGCCAGCTCCTCCCTGGGCACATGGAAACCTTCCCACTCCTTGTCCAGCAGTGACGCAGCCCCCCAGGGCAGCCTCATCCCGCCGCCTCCAGCAGCCCTGCCGTGATCCCGGGTTTAATTTCCCTAATGAGGCAGCGCTGAGCTGGGGAAGGAGCCCCTGCCAAGAGCTGTCAGCTGGGCAGTTGGAATTGCAGGGATGGGAGCTGCTGGCCCTTGGCTGGAGCTGGCTAATAAATGGCATCCTGGTGCCACCAGGGCAGGGGGTGACAGCGGTGACAGAGGGAACAGAGCCAGGGCCAGCAGTGCACTGGGATTTCCTCCCTGCCCCAAGGAACTCTCTGCCTGGCCCAGCTTTGGACTGAGCACCTGGAGTGGGCTGCTGGGAGCACCTGGAATGCTGTGAGCCTGTCCCTTGTCCCAGGTGTTGGAGGGGACTGATCCAGGCAGGGACGTGGCTGGTGTGGCACCCCCACCCCTCGACTGGCATGGGATCAGTGCCCTGGAAAAGGTTTTCTCTCTGGAGCAGCATCTCCGTCCCTCCTGCTGCGGGGTGGGGACAGTCCCTGCCACCATCCTGGGGGATCAGGGGCTGCAGGGCGGATCCGGCACATCCAAGGGTCCCTCCAGCCCTGGTCTGACCCCATGGAGCCCCTGGGACAGGGATAAAGTCTGGAGGAAGTTTCTCTTTTGGGACAAATCCAGGCAGCTGTGGCTTGGCTTGGGGGCTGGGATGGATTGGGAATGGGGGCTGGGATGGATTGGGAATGTGGGCTGTGATGGATGGGGAGGCAGCCCCAGGTCAGGAGGTGGGAGCTGCTGTCCTGAGTGATTTGTGGTTTCCCGGGCTGGTAAACTCTGCCTTCCCTTCCCTCCATCCCGGTCAGACCAGGGGGAGCAGCCCCTCGTTCCTGGAGGAAGCAGGCCTTCATTCCAGGGGGAGCAGCCCCAGGAGCAGCCCCTGGTTCCCGGGGAGGGGGAGCCAGGCACGGCTCGGGGCACGCAAAGCACTAATGATCGAAGCAGCACTAAATCCAAATAAACCCCGACTGCTCCAAAGATTTATGGCATGAGCCTGACCTCAAACTGTCGGGGCTGGCAGCTGGGAGGGAGTTACGTCAGCACCTTGGGAATGGAGTGGTGAGGGGGCTTCTTCAGGAACAATATCCCAATGTCCCAAATGTCCCCCTGTGCACCAGGAACACCCAGAGATTGTTCCCAAGTCTTTAGGTCTTTATGGAGCTTGGCTGGGGCTGGGCTGCAGGTGGGGTCCCCCCAGGTCTGGTCCTGCCTGTGGGGCTGTTGTGTGGCTTGTGCTGTTCCTGGCTGGGGCTTGTTCAGGTTTAGGGTAAGGTGGATGGATGGATGGATGGATGGATGGATGGATGGATGGATGGAAGAGGGATGGATGGAGGGATGGATGGATTACGGATGATGGATGGATGGGTGGATGGATGGATGGATGGATGGATGGATGGATGGATGGATGGATGGAGGAAGGATGGATGGAGGGATGGATGGATGGATGGATGGATGGATGAGGGATGGATGGATGGATGGATGAAGGATGGATAGATGGATAGATGGATAGATGGATAGATGGGTGGATGGATGGATGGATGGATGGATGGATGGATGGATGGATGCATAGATGCACAGATGGATGTTAGACAGATGGGAGCTGCTGAGACAAGCTGGGACTTCCGTTCCCATTTCCTGCTCCAAGCCCAGAGCCAGGAGTCTGGAACAACCTCATCTGGTTCCAATTTCAGGAGGAACAAAGGGAATAGGGCCATGTGGCTCCCATCAGGGAGAGGCTTTGCAGGTCACGCAGGAAGAATCCCACCCTCGGGAATGGGGAAGGGCTGGGGAGCGCTGGGCTCTCGTCATTTCTTGGGAAGCCTTGACACTTCTGGTGTAAAAACATCAAAAAGCAAATGAGAGTGATTCCCAGTGTTTCTTCCTGCACCCCTCAATTCTTGGCATTTTTCCTTGCCTTCCCATCAGTTTTGGTGACCTATCTCATATTTTTGGGCTGTGCAATTCCCAAGTCCCTGCAAATTTATTCTGCTGGATCACAAATTCCAGTGAGCTGCTGGTGAGTGGGTGTTGGGAGTGCAGGATGGCACATCAGCTGCAGGACAAAGGCTGAATATTCCCAGAGATTTGGGAACCACATAGGGTGTTGGGGACAGGCATATCCAGTGGCTGCTGAGGAGAGCTGGAACAGATCCAGGCAGACACAGCTCAGACACTTAAAAGCTCAACTCCCCCTGCCCTTCCGGAGCTGATGGATTCTCTCTCCTGGTGGGAGAAGGGATGTGGGGACAAAAAGCGAGTCAGGTCCCAAATTTCTCCGCCTGACAGTTCCAGCTGCAAGCTGCAGCAAAAACAAAGAAATCCCGAGCTGTTTTCGGGAGGTAAAATGCTCCGAGAGAGACAGGGACCCTTCAAGGCCTTGATTTGAAACTGAAGCTCGAACCTGGCTCGTTACATCTTGAAACATCCGATGCGATCTCGCAGATCAAAGCCGCCTTGTTTGCCTTGTAATGAGGTGTCAAAGCGTTTCCTTGCAACTCCGACAGGAGACACTTTGATCTGCAAAACAAGATGTTTAAGAGCGCTGCTAGCGAGGGCTCCCCGTGTTTTCGCAGCTCTGGGAGGCAGGGGAATATTTGAAGTCTGGTGTTGTTTCCTCTGGAGGCTTCCCAAGCTGTGGCAGCTGATGAGGTGTTGCTGTCACACCGGAGCCAGGACTCATAGGGAAATCATCGAGCCTGAACAGCAGCCAGCTGGAGAACCAAGCCAAGCATTTTTCTTGCAGCTTCCAAAAAGAATTGCTGGGTTTTCCCCCCAGAAAAGACAATTTTGTCCATGGGAAATGCTGGAGTCGGTGTGAGCTCACTCTGAGTTTTTTTTCTGGGGTAAACACTGCAATTCTGGGTGGTTCACCTGGAGGCTGTTTGTGCTGCTGATGCCTTGGTCTGACTTTTCTCATGCCTTGTCCCACGAGGGGTGGCTGGGGTGCCACCTGGGTGGGGCTGGAGCTGCTCACGTGTCCCTCTGGTCACAGGCTCAGCGCTGGCGCAATGAGAACTACGAGCGGCCCGTGGACCTGGAGGGCTCTGGGGACGACGACCCCTTTGGAGAAGATGAGCTGGACGACATCTACTCCGGCTCTGGCTCGGGGTGTGAGTAACTGGGAATGGTCCCTGGATGGCTGGGGGGTTCCTGGGATTTCTGGGAAGGGTCCTTGGCTGGGTGTGGGGTTGGGGAGTTCCTGGGAAGGTCCTTGGCTGACTGTGAGGTTGGAGGGCTGGAGAGGAGATGTGAGGGAGGGAATTGCCCTTTATCCATCACTGGAATTGTCCTCTGAGACAAAAGCAATGGGAGCTGTCCCAAAAGCTGGGCTTCAGCACCTCCATGTCCCGGTTCAGCCTCTGGTCCTACTGGGCAGGACTGGCCCCTCCACAGACCCCAGAGAGGGCTTTCGCCACCACACAGGCACAGCCCTTGTTTTCTGCTGAGCCTGGCACCATCCGTGCTCTCAGATTTTGGGGGTGATGCCAGGGAAATGCATCAGCAGCAGCTTCACTCTTCCCTCTTGTGCCCTTTTCAGATTTCGAGCCGGAGCCGGGGCTGGACACGGCCGTGAGCCTGACCACGGACACGCTGGTGACGCTGCCCACCACGGCGGCCGTGCTGCCTGTCACTGCTGCCCAGCCCGTGGCAACACCCCTGGAGCCGTCCCCCACCCCCCAGGACACCACCCCCGGGCAGGCCACCAGCGCCTTCCTCATCCCCAGGACCACAGAAGCACCGGTGGTGCCCAGCTGGAAAGCCACCACCACCAGCACCATGGCCAGCGAGCCCCCAACCACCACAGCCACCACCACCACCACAGCCACCACCACCACAGAGGCCACCACCACCACCACCACCACCACCACCACCATGGAGGCCACCACGACCACAAGCAGCACCACTGTGGCCACGGCCAAGCCCACCACCATCCGGAGGTTCCTGCCCCCCTTGGCCACCAAGGCGGCCACCACCCGGGCCACCACCCTGGAGACCCCCACCACACCCGTCCCTGAAACCAGCACGCCGACAGAGGTGGCCACGTCACGCCTTGTCCCCACCAGCACGGCCAAGCCCAGGGCTCTGCCAAAGCCCAGCACCTCGAGGACTGCAGAGCTCCCCGAGAAAAGCACGGCGTTGCCACCCAGGGCCACCACGCAGCCGCCCACAGAGGCCCCCCAGGTAGGAGGCCAGAGCCCTTCTCACCTGCTCGGGGCTCCTGGGCTCCGTGGGAAGCCAAGCGGTGGCCACGGGAGGCCTTTGGTGTCCATCTCTCCTTGGCACTTGCTCTGAGGGAGGTGGAGGCAGGCTGGGCTCTTCCAGAGTGAACGTCTGGGGAGCTGGAAGGAGGTGGAGGGGGAGTTCAGCACAGGCAGGGGTGCAGGCTCCTGGGGGCACCCAGGATGTGCCACCCACCCTGCTGACCTCCACACTGCCTTCTCCAGAGCGGCTTCCCCAGGCTGGAGGGCAGCGGTGCCACATCCCACGGGGACACAGCGACTTTCCTCGGGGTTTGGTGTCATGCCCCAGCTCCCAGCCCTCGCCGGGAGTCCCAAACTCTCCTCAATTACGGCTTGATGGTGCATTTCCAGCCCATCGGGTGTCCTGAGCAGGAATTTCAGCTCTATCTCGCATTCAGAGCCCCTCAGGGGCCCTTTGCAGCCGCTTTGACTGAAAGGTGGAGTGATTTGTCTAAACTACTCTCTCTTTTCCGCCTGCAAATGCGTGCTCGGAGCGCTCGGGGCTCTCGCTGACCTTCAATTAATCCCTGTCACAAACGCGGCCGCTCGTGGGAAGCGCTGAGCCGTGCGCCGGCCCCGGGGCAGCGGGACATGGAGAAGGCTCCCACCCCCGCCCCAGACAGCTCCCGGCTCATCCTGAATCCCGGCTCACCCTGAATCCTGCCTCATCCCGAATCCTGCTTTGTGACCGAGGCAGGCGGGAAGGAGCCGTTTGCCCCAGCAGGGAGGGATCCCGGGGATGCTCCGGCTCCGAAGACACCGAGGGACATGGGGGAAGGACACATCCCGAGGGGATGTGCAGGAGGCAGCAAATGGATCAGGAAAGGGATGGAGGGGGTGGGATGGATCATATTCCCAGGCAATCCTTGAGGCCGGGATCCCATCCTTGCCAAGGGAATTGGGCAGGGACAGCAGGGAGCCAGGCTGGGTGACAGCCCTGTGGCCTGGGTGACAGTTCTGTGGCCTGGGTGACAGGGGCATATCCTCCTGCTCCTGCCCTGTGCAGCAGGAAGGGGGGAAAGGAAAGGGGAAGGGACCCCTGGAGCTCATCCAGCAGCCTCCAATCCTTTCTCTTGCCATGCTGGTGTGGCATGGAAGTTGTGTCACCTGTTAGGAGTGAGTCACCTTCAAGCAGTGACATCCAGTCTGCCCTCTGGGGACAGAACCTAGCGCAGAGTCTGGGATGGGATATTGGGGAGAAATCCCTCCCTATAAGGGTGGAGGGTCTGGAATGGGGTCTCTTTAAGAGAACTACAGGGAACAGGTCCTGAGATGGGGACAGAGAATGGCCTGGCTCAGCCATGGTGGCCTCAGCCATTTGGTGACCAAGTGGTGGTGTTGTGCTGTCACCGCGGTACAACTTCAGTGATACAGGGAAGGAACACCCCAATGTCACCCTCATGTCCCCACCCTGTCCTTGGTCTGGTGATGTCCACCCTTTGGTCCTTGTCCCCTGCTCCATCTTGTCTTTTCTCCCAGATGGAGCCAGGGGAGGTGACAACAGCCCCCGAAAAGGAGCCGGAGGTCCCGGCCAGCAGCGGCCCCAGCGGGGACTTTGAGATCCGGGAGGAGGAGGAGACGACTCGTCCTGACCTCGGGAACGAGGTGATGGCTGTGGTGACGCCGCCGGCTGGGCCAGGGCCAGGCAGGAACGTGGAGACAGGGCTGATGGACAACACGATAGACTCGGGCAACTCGGCTGCTCAGCTGCCCCAAAAAAACATCCTGGAGAGGAAAGAGGTGTTGATAGGTGAGATACGGGGCCGGGGATTTGGGGGAGAGGGTTTGGGGGCACAGGGAGCTGGTCTGTCCCAGGAGAGGGGACAGTCCTGGGAAGGGCATTGGGATAACCCACATCCATCTCCTGAAACGGCTCTGTGGGCTCTCCCAGGGTCTCCATGCCTTTGCCAGGACAGCTCTGCACAATTTCCTTCTACTGAGATGGATTTCCAGGAAAAAAAAAAAAGAGATTTTAGTGCAAAATGTTCTGTGGTCATAGCTCAGCACCCAGTGCTGCTCCCAAATTTCCAAGCACAAACCAGGCTGGAATCCCAAATGAACCCCCTAAACTGCAGCAGTGCTTAGCCTGGTGTAACCCACACCCACCTCCCAAAACTGCTCCATGGCTCTGCTGGGGGGTCCCAGGGGTCTCCATACCTTTACCAGGAATATTGTCCACAATTTGTGCTGAGATGGATTCCAGGAAAAAAATGGGATTTTTTTTCCTGGAAATCCAAAGATGTGCTGCAGTGAGCCAGCCACTGCTGAGAGGCTGCTCCCAGATTTCCAGAGCACAAAACCAGGCTGGAATCCCAAAGGATCCCCCCCAAACTCTCTGTGCTGTAAGCCAGGCTGGGGCTGGCAGTGGCACTGAGGGTAGGAGGTGACACTGATGGCCCAGAGGGGTGACACGGTTGGCCAGGGGTGGCACTTATAGCTGGGGGTGCCACTGGCAGCCAGGCCAGTGGGTGGCACTGATGGCTAGGTGTGACATGGCTGGGAGGGGACACTGATTGCAAGAGGGGTGACACTGATGACCAGAGGGATGGCAGCTGGGGGTGACACTGAAGGCCATGGGGGTGACACTGAAGACCAGAGGGGTAGCACTGACAGCCACGGGTGGAACTGATGGACAGGGGTGGCACTGACAGCTGGGGGTGGCACTGATGGACTCGGGTGGCACTGACAGTCGTGGGTGGCACTGACAGTTGTGTCCCCTGTGCGTTGTTGCAGCGGTCATCGTGGGTGGCGTTGTGGGCGCCCTTTTCGCCGCCTTCCTGGTGATGCTGCTCATCTACCGCATGAAGAAGAAGGACGAGGGCAGCTACACCCTGGAGGAGCCCAAGCAGGCCAACGTCACCTACCAGAAGCCGGACAAGCAGGAGGAGTTCTACGCGTAGACGGAGAGCCCGGAGTGCCTCACGCTTCCTCCCTCCCTCCCTCACCGCTCCAAACCCTCCCCCTCCTCTCCTCCATCCAGTCTCTCTCTCCCCTCCCTCTTCTCTCTCTTTTTTTGGGATCAGACTGTGAATTTTTAAAAGCAAAACCCGCAGTGGCTGAAGGAGGAAACGTGCCCTTGGCATGGGGGGCACGGGGTGCCCAGAGCAGCGCCGTGGTCACACTGAGTGTGCCTGGGTCACACTGAGCAGTGCCGAGGTGACACCGAGCAGCACCATGGTCACACCGAGCAGCGCCTGGGTCACACCGAGCACCCTGAGGTCACACCGAGCAGCACTGCAGTGACACCGAGCAGCGCCAAGGTCACACTGAGCGTGCCCAAGTCACACCAAGCAGCGCCAGGGTCACACCGAGCAGCGCCAAGGTCACACTGAGCAGTGCCCAGGTCACATCAAGCAGCACCATGGTCACACTGAGCACTGCTGAGGTGACACTGAGCACCCTGAGGTCACACCGAGCAGCACAGCAGTGACACCGAGCAGTGCCGTGGTCACACTGAGCAGTGCCAAGGTCACATCAAGCAGCACCATGGTCACACTGAGCACTGCTGAGGTGACACTGAGCACCCTGAGGTCACACCGAGCAGCACAGCAGTGACACCGAGCAGTGCCGTGGTCACACTGAGCAGTGCCAAGGTGGCACCAAGCAGTACCACAGTCACACCGAGCACCCCAAGGTGACACCAAGCAGTGCTGCGGTCACACTGAGCACACTCAGGTCACACCAAGCAGTACCACAGTCACACCGAGCAGCGCCGAGGTGACACCGAGCACCCCGAGGTGACACTAGAGCAACCCGAGGTGACACTAAGCAGCACTGTGGTGACACTGAGCAGCACCGATGTCACACTGAGCACTGCCGAGGTGACACCGAGCAGCACCGAGGTGACACCGAGCACCGCTGGCCTTTCTGCTGGCGGGAGGGACGGGACATGGAGCCGATGCCAAGGAGCCGATGCCAGGGCAGCCGTGCCTGGGAATGCCCTGGAGAGCACGGGATGAGCTGCCCACGGCGCCTGGAGCTCAGCTGGACTTTTCCCACCAACACCACCACAAACTCTGGGATTCAGACACCTCCTGCCAGCCCTGGGGCACAGGGGGTTTGCTTTGGATTTATTGCCCTTTTTTTTTCCGTCCATAAAGGAGGGAGATTTCCTTCCCTTTGTCTCATCTTTATATTTTGGTTTTACTTTGGAATGGGGTTGGTCACTCTGCAGGAATCCCCTTCTGCTGGAAGAGAGAACGTGACTCTCCAACGCTCCTGGAACCTTGGGAAAAGCACAAGGGGCTGGAATACCTGGGATTTGCTCCTGGAGTGGGGAAAAAAGGAAATAAATACAAATGCTGGGAATGATCCCTTTGGATCAACATTCTGGAGAGCTTGTGGAGATGCACTGGGGCATCCCAGGCTGCTGCCATCTGGCCACCCTCTGGAATCTCTTGGATCCACATCTGACTGAGGGGTTTGGCCAGGAAGGGACTTGGCTTGGGCTGGGTTTTCACTGTGACCACTAAAGCTCGGCTTTGCGGGACATTCCTTCAGGAGGAGCTGGGACTGGAGAAGCTGAATCCTGTCCCTGGCTCTTCCAGAGGGGATAACAGAGCTCTGCAAGCGTGGGATGCAGCCTAAGGGAGGAAATCCAAGCAGGGACCATCCCTGTCCCCTCAGGGTCCAGCAGGGATCCCACTGGCTCCAGAGGTGAGGAAGGGGAGGCAGAACCATGGCTCAGCCCAGGGCTGCTTGGATCATTGGAAAGATCCCAAAATCAATGCAAACTCCCAGGACTGATGGTTTTCCTTTGTGTTTTGAATCCCCAGGATTGATGGTTTCCCTTCATTGGTGTTTAAATCCCAGCACAACCTACGGGGCCAGAGAGAACCTGATCCTGACACCCCCAGGTGTCCTATCTGAGGCTGCCCTGGGTGCAGATTAATTAATTCAGATATTTCAATTAAGATGTTTCAATGAGGTGGCTCTTAATTAGCTGGAGCCCTGCTTGTGGGGTTTTGTTGTCACAATGGTTGTGATCTCGATGGGGTCCCCTGGAGACGTTTGATTTGCTCTTGGAACAATTTAAATGGGAAAAATCTGTGGGAAAAATTGTTGCTTTGTGAATTAACAGAGCCAGGGACACTTTGGCCCCTGAGGGGGTTGGGGGATTTAGGGTTTCATGGCCCTGGTGGGGGTTACAAGACAGAAGAGCTTCATTGTGGAAGGGATTTGAGGCCAGAAGAATATTTTGAATATATATAAATACATATCTCCACTGCTGTACACCACAGGAACACAGGTGTGGAAGGAAATGAAATCCCTGGAATTTCTCTTTGCTCTGGGATGCTCATGTGGGATTTCAAGTTGGGAAGTTGGGAGCTTTGGGCTGCTTTTTCCTGGGATACAACCCAAAATGACGACCTGGCTTTACTTCAGGATAGGGAACAGGGCCCCACCATGGATCAGTTCTAAATCCTCATTTTTGAGCTGTCAGCCTCAAAACCCTCATGGTTTAGGTTCTTGGAGCTTGGAGCAGGCCCTGCTGGATGTTTGGGGTGCTGGTTCTGGGAGTGACCAGTTCCATGTCCATCCTGCAGGGAGGATGAAGATGAGGATGAGGATGAGGATGAGGATGAGGATGAGGATGCTCCAAAGGAGGAAACACATTCAGAAGGAGCCTGGTGGCAACCCAGAGCCACTTTGTGCTGCTCTAGAGGGAGTTTGGACTCCTGATTTGATGATTTGGAGGATTTTGGCCCCGATGGGATCACACAAAGGGGAGTGGCACAAGTCAAGGTCACCAAGGCCACCCAAAATCCCCATCTTTTGGGAAAACCTGGATTTAATCTTTGGAGCTTGCTTTAAAAAAAAAAAAAAAAAGAAATCCTTCCCAGGATAATCTTTTTAATGCTGCTTTTCAGAGCTGCCTCCTTAATCTTCTTCATTTCATTTTTTTCCTCCTATTTAATAGTCTGAAGTTCCATAATACAATTTTTTTACTCACTCAAGCTTAACCTTGTCCCTCTCAGCTGGTGTTAGGTTGTAATCCTGGCACTTAAAGCCATCACAGCTTCAGGAGTGAGGGAAGCTGGAGGTGGGAGGGTGAGAGAAGCCTGGGCAGGGCTTCTGCAGTAATTAAAATATGAGATAAACACAATAAAAAAAGGTGAAGGCAGCTAAACTGCTAATCAGAAGTGATCAAATAATTAATTGTCTAACTCCTGCTTCCACACTTTTGCTCTCCACCTGAAGAGGGATGTGAGCTCCAGGAGAATTTTTTGGGTTTGGAGCCTACTTTTTGTGCTTGTGCAATGATGTCACCTCAGCTCCACGGGGGCTGTTGGAGTTGATGTTTGAAGGGCAAAAAAAGTCTCGTGCTGGAGGATGTGACCCTGTGCCTCCCTCCAAGGAGCTGGGATGGAGCTGAATATGGGCAGGATTTTCTGGGGAAGTCCATCTCCCAAAAAAATCCTGGATAAAGCCATTTCTCCATGAGCAGAGCCACAGGGATGGATAAAACCTGAGGAATGGTGCCTGGTGCAGGTGGCGTCACTCCTGCTCCAGGGCTTTCCAGGGATTCCTGGTGGGAACACAGATGGGGAAGAGGAGAGGAGGTTCCACACAGGAGCTTCTAGCTTCCCCCAGAGCAGATTTTTGGGAAAATGAACTTGAGTGGAAGTGTCTCCAGCATCTTCCCTTCCCAAAGCTGAGTCTGGCATCGTCTCCTCTGCCCAAATTCCCATCCCTCATGGTGATCCCAGCCAGGAGCAGCTGGAGCAGTGCCCAGATGTGCTGGTAATTCCAGCTGTGCTCCCCGAGGGATTTTTCCATGGCTTTTCCATTTCTTTTCCGCCCGTTCCTGTGTGTGTGTGATGTGCTGGAGCTGCAGGGAGAGCCTTGGCTCTTCCAGCTGGATAATTTTAGGAGTTTCTGGAATTGCAGGGTGGTGTGGGCTGCTCTGCCAGCTGTGCCAGCCTTGGGCTCTCCCTGCTGGAATTGCAGCAGGAGAATGATGGAGAATATCCAGCAGGAGAACAGCCAGGAACTCCAAGGCCACATCCAAAGGGAAGGGAAGAGCAGAGAGCCCAAACCAGGGCTGAAAGGGGAGTTTGGGAAGGGCAGGACATGGAAGGGGCCCAGCAGCAGCAGGACCTGGCTCTGGATGGGTTTTGCAGGGATGGGAGTTGTCCCTAAGCTCCAAAAATCTCTCTGATCTTGGATATTTCCATAAAAAGCACCATGTGCCTGTGTTGGGATGGATTTGTCCCTTAGCTCCAAAAGTCTCCCTGATTTTGGACCTTTCCAGAATGAGCTGTGCTGGGGAAATCCAGCTGCAGGGACGGGGATGGCTCAGGCTGGGTTACTGCCAGGATGGGCTGGTTGCCTCAAATTTCCCCTCTCCCTCCCTCATTTCCCTGACAATCCCTGTCTGGGAGTTCCTTTGCTCATCTCCAGCCCCAGCTCCAGCATTCCAAGCTCTCCCTGCTGTGAATCCCCAGCTCAGTTCCTTCCACAGGAACAAGCCCACCAGCTGAGAACTGGAATGGATTTTTTTATTCCCTTTTTCTCCTGTAACCACCCTTGTCATGATCTTTTCCGTGCTCCAAGGTTTTCTGCCAGGCTCTGAAGTAACTCTGAGCTTTCAGTCCAGAAAGGTTTGGTGGGAATGAGCTCCCTGGGATCCCTGGGAGTGGGGCTGTGTGTGTATATAATGTGTGTATGTAATTAATGTATATGTAGAGATGTATAGATGGGCACGGGGCTGGCGGGCTCTGCTCCTGAGGGAGAAAAGGAGGAGGAAAAAGAGGAAATGGAGGAGGAAAAAGAGGAAAAGGAGGAGGATTTGCCCTCCAGCACTACATGCTGGGCTCTGCAGCCCTTGGCCCCTGTCCCAAGGAACGTGGGATTCAGCCTCATTCCCTGTCCCAAGGGATGCAGGTTTCCCTGCCCAAGGGATGTGGGTTTTCCTGTCCCAAAGAATGTGGGATTCAGCTCTGACCCCTGTCCTAAAGGATTTGGGATTCCCCCTCATTTCCTGTCCCAATGGATTGAGGATTCAGCCTTGGCCTCATTTCCAAGGGATGCAGATTTCCCTGTTCCAAAGGATGTGAGGCTCCCCCTCTTTCCCTGTCCCAAGGGATGCAGGATTCCCTGTCCCAAAGGATGTGGGATTCAGCCTCATTCCCTGTCCTAAAGGATGTGGGGCTCCCCCTCATTCCCTGTCCCAAGGGATGCAGAATTCCACCTCTCCAGTTCCTGCTGCTCCTCCCTCCCCTCTCTGCCCTTCACATCCTCCCGATCCCAGTCCCGGTCCCAGTCCTGATCCCAATCCTAGTGCCAATCCCAGTCCTGATCCCAGTCCCGATCCTGATCCCGATCCCCATCCCATTCCCAGTCCTGGTCCTCATCCCTGTGCCAGTCCCAGTCCCAATCCCGATCCAAGTCTCAATCCCACTCCCAATCCCGAAACCAAATCCCGATCCCAGTCCTGATCCCAGTCCCAGTCCTGATCCCAGTCCCGGTCTGGGTGGGTTGGAATCAGGAGCCTTTTGCCGCTGTAGGGCCGGAGCAGATCCGGGCTGGGATCCCAGGGTGGATCCAAAGCCCCGCGAGCTCCGGAGCCTCCCCAGTCCTTGTGCCGGCAGCTCCCCCTTCTCTTAG